CCAAACCAAAGCACAAGCTATATGAATGTCTCCTCTAATATATCTAAAAAGCATGCCTGCATGATTAATCTAGTAGTTTTATGGGAAAAGCCCATAGGTTTATTAAAGGCAACATTCACATGAATCAAAGGTATAAATGTTAACCACAACAATGTCCTACATTACCTGAAACAGAAGAAGACTTCATCTTACCAGCCATTCCTCAAGGTTTGTCAGTGTATTTTGACTATAGCAGGTTGAATCCTGTAAAATGACTATCATGAACATCCATCAGCATTCAAAAGCTGTTTAAATCCACTATACATTTTGTATCTCTTTTAATTTTTTTTTTTGCTACAGGCTTTATTTTCACTGTTATGCATATATTCTTATTGTTGAAGAAAATATTAGATGGTGCATATTTTTATGACCCTTCAATCAGAAGCTTGCCTACCGAAGAAATATACTGAAAGGGAAAATTGCAAACTTTATTTAAAAAAAAATTTTTTTTTTAATTCCAGCATCTAAAAATCAAATTAATTTATGGGAACTATGGTACTTTCTGAATAGGCCCAAGCCTTCATGTATTGACTGGGAATGTAGTGGCAGGAATAATCTAGAAGGTTACTTTCCCCCTAACTTGTCAGTAGGAAGTCCTCTTCTGACCATGCTAACTAGCCACTGCATTGCAACACTTATAACAAGGCTAAAACAAAGAGGAGGGTTATAATACTAACACATTACCATGATCTGAAAGTCAGATCTTAAAGCGAGAAGGTAAAAAATATTGCTGTAGGAAATAAATTTAGATAAGAATGAGAACTTCAAACTTTCAGTGGTTTGAAGAGGTCATTACTAGGATAAGAACAAAGAACTATTGATTATCAGGGAAAGAAAAAATGGCAAACATTCTCAGCGTATAAGGTAAGCAATTAGTCTTAGATTTCTGTGAGGCATCCCTACTGGTAAGGTGCATAGTACAAATAGAGAAGGTCAGAACATCCTTTGAGAAAAGAGGTCAGCCCAAGTTTAATCATACTGAGAAAGGTTATATCCAGCATGTGTGTAAGAGCTTGTGGAATGGACAGCTAGTCACATCATTAGCTGCCAATAACATGTGGTTAATTTGACCATTATTTTTTCCTATTTTGTATTCTTTCACTTATGCACCTGTATTGGTTATTTGTGTCTATTTCATGGATATTTTGGATAAACAGAGCAACTAAGATCTCCACTGCATAATATAGCAGTTTTCCTTTACGGACTGCAAAAATTGTCCTTTCAAAAATACCACATGACAAGGGATAAGAAAACACACCTGATTCAGCATGCTGGACCAATCTTTGCTATTTTTATATCCATGCAAACAAATTTTAAAAAGAGGGTGAGGAGTTGTACTTTCTTCTGAATGGAAGCGGGGCATTTTAGCTGAGTGAGTGAATAGGATGTGGCCTGAGAGCAAAATTTGGCTAGTATTTATTTTTATAAGTAATAGTGTTTTTTCTTTAAAATGTTAATAGACAATCAAAACATTGTGAATTAAAACCTAAGTATGTAATCCTTCTTTGTGATTCATCCTGAAGATTTTGCTTTAATATGCTTCACCTATACCACCAAGCAATGGCATCTCCCAGGTTTTAAATTTCCATAAGTGGAACAGGTATAAAGTGTGCAAAATAGTCTAATGTGGAGGCTAAGAGATGTGCACTGTAAATGAGATGGGAGGGCTTTGCAATTTTTTTAAATCAGAAGGACATTTGTTAAAACATAGTGGAAAACCAGAACAGTCTGTTGAACATTGTTATTCAGTGTCTCATTAAACTCAGAGTTTCCTGCTAAACTGAGTAATCAGTTTTGTATACTGAAGGCTTATTCATCACGTTAGAAGTTACATGACCTTTGGGGGAGAGGGGGAAACAAATGGTATTCGATTTACAAGTAAGCCTTCCCAATCCAAAGAACAGATCAATTTCAGATTTCTATAGCATCTGGGAAGACACTCTTTTCATTGCATACTGTACTGTACTTATCATCTCAGACATCCAGACTGCAAAAATAAGTGCTAAATTCTCCTCTGCTTTGGAAGAAAAAGACTTTTTGGCAGTACAAAAATCTGCAAATGGATGTAGAGAAATAAACTATTGATTTAATACCTCCAAATACTAAATAATTGCTCACTGCTTTCTATATTTTGGTATACTTATTAAATACATGCCAAAGTAACGAAGAATCAGATATTTGAACTCTGATTTAAAGAGATGCTATCTAGTAATTTATTCTCTCTTCTACCTTAAGCTTGCTATATAATCTGATAGGAAGGTCATCTGGGTAATGCATATTCTTTTAATTTTAAATTTACCCTTCTGTAATTATTTATCCTTGACTGCATTTTCTTTTTTTTTCCCCTCCCAATTTAGATGTCTTCAGATGGGACCTTGAACATAAGTTAATACTAAATCAAATCTCAGTACTGTGCTGTTTTAATTGATGACATCATCAATGGTATTTTTAAGCAAGATAGAATGCAGTTGTCTTGAATCATGGAAGGAAAGGAGGTGGAAAGAATTATTTTCTAAAAGAAAGGGAGGGCCTGATAGGGATACAAAAATTAAGCAAACATTTGACTGGAATGGTTTAAATGGGGATGAGTCTGCCTTGTGCAGGAGTCAAATTAAATGATCTCATTGGCTAGGGACAGATATTACACATTCACCACATATAAATGATCAGAAGCTGGTTTAAACATGTGACAGAACAGATGTTCAGTGCATGTACACCAGTATCAAAATGGCCAAAACCAGTTTGAGATGGATCTGGATGGATATAGTATCAGAAATCACTGATTTTGGTTAGATTGCTCTATTGAACTTCTATCCCAGATTTCCCCATAACACAAGTTAGGTCTCAGTACCCCTACATCCCAGGATGCATTGCAGCCCCCAATATCCTACCCTTCTCCCCATTCACAGGTCAGGCAGGATAGCCACTGCCCAACTTGTCTGCTCCAGCTGAGCTGGGCAGCCCCATCCCTGGTTGTCACCAATGACAGCACAGGAGCAGGTGGGGGGTTATACCCCCCCCGAGGCCCAGCTACACCTCATAAGGAAGAGACCTTTCCCACAGGCAGCACAGTTCTGATGCCCAAGACAAACCCCCTTGATGTCCCACTCCCTCTCAGCCATGGGGCAGCAGGTGGAGGGGAGAAGAATGGAACCCCCTTCTGACCCTAGCCCTCCCAACTGGGGTCTGCACAGAGGGTGGTGGGGAAGGACCCCAAGGAAGGGGCTTTTTTCCTTCAGTGTGGCTCTGCTGGGTTGTGAATGCCCAACCCTGACCCCACCTGTCAGCCATGAGGTACATGGGTGGGTAGAGAATGGCCCTCCCTACAGCTCCTCATCTGGGTACAGAACACTGGGGGGAAGCCCCCAATATGGGGGCTTTCCCTCTTGAAGAGAAGCTCTGCCAGGCTGTGAACATCCCAGTCTCATCCCCTCATGAGCCCCCAAGCTGTCAACTGCAGGGGGACACATGATGGGGAATATACCTTCACTCCAGCCCCCCAGCCACAGTCTGCACAGTTGGTGTGGGGGCTTTCCACCCCAGTGAATGTCCGATCCCTACCCTCTCACCACCCCCACTGCCTCTCAGCTGCAGAGGGGTGGATGGGGGAGGTGGAATGGACCCCCACTCTGGTCCCACACCCCCAACCCAGGTTTGCATTGCAGATGGAGAGAAGAACTCCAAAGGTGGGGACTTTGTTTCCCATAGTTCAGCTCCACTAGGCTGCAAACATCCAACCCTGCCTCTTCACTTTCCCCCTGCCTGTCCACCTCAGGGACTTTGCTCCCCAACCCACTGTACAGACACAGGCTGGGGGGATGGGGGGAGGGTTCTTTCCCCCCCCCCCCCATAGCTGACAGGTAGGCAGCTGATAAGGGGGTGAGTCTGGGACATTCAAAACTTGGCAGCACTATGCTACAGGGAGGAAAGCATCCACCATGGCAGCTTTTCCCCCCACACCCACTATCCAGACTCCAGCTTGGGGGCCAGAGCAGGAGTCCATTCCCTCCCCGATCCCCTAGCAGCTGACAGGTGTGGGGCTGGTGAAGGGGCAGGGCTGGGGTGTTTGCAGCTCAGCAGAGTTGGGAGGTATGTGAAGTTGTTCCCTGCCTTCTAGCCTTGGCCAGTTCAGGAATCTGCTTGATTTGGCCAACTGATGAGTGAACATGTATTATGTTCATTAATGGTCAAATCTATGCAGCTTAGAGAAAGCTGTGTAGATTAAATTGATTTAGCCTTGGGCTTTCTTGACTGTCTGTACTTAGCCTTTAAGTCCCTTCTAACTCTATTATTCCAGGAGCCCATAATTATTTGCAAAATTCTCTAAGGTCAGTTTTTAATGAAATCATGGTGCCCCATTTATTTTCATAGTTGCAGTACCATGAGTAAAAATAAAACAAAATTTAAACAAATTCAAAACATATACAACTTTTACTTGGTTCACAAACATAGTTGAAAACTATTACCAATTAGTCAAATTCTTCGTAATAGGTGCAAAGTAGTGTAAGCCAGCCAAAACAGGTGTCTGAGGTCTCAATATAAGACCCAATTTAATCTTAATAGAATGTTTTTGACATTAATAGGGTGTGTAGAATACACTACAAAGGTAGTAGTAATAGACTTGGTGAATAACAAACAATGTATCTTGTGATTTTTACATAGACTTGAAAATAAATGTGCTTCACTATGTCTATTCTCCTTTTATGACTGCTTTTTGTAAACATTCCAGTGATGAACTTTCTCTGACATCAATATTTACAAAAAATTAATTGACTCTTATATAGTATAATTCTTGAGAAAATCTAAATGTCAAATCAATGCCTGTGGGAGTAGGAAAATATGATTACCCTTATTTTACATATGTGGCAGTGCACCTTTGGATACCTGCCACTTTAAGGCTTGGAGGCAGGCAGCTAGCAGGTGCTTGATTAAAGCAGCCATTTTCAAACTTGGGAAAGCTAGGCAGAGGCAGCAGTGTGCTGCTTGAAGTTGAGGGAGTAACATCACCTGGCTGAGCTGCTGCTCACAACATCTTGGAGGTAAGGGCAGGAGCTATGGGGATGGCAGGAAGCTCCTGGTCCTGGGCATGACCTGAAACAGCACCCTGCCAGGAAAGGGGTGTCTGGTGGGACTGTCTGTGGCAGGATAGCCCCCAAGAAATATCAGACCAGTTCCCCCTCCCCCTGCCCAGGTGAAAGGTGGGTAGGGGCACCTTAATCCCACCTCCCACTGTCTGGTGGGTTATTGTAAGAGTATGGAGAGCTGTGTGGGCCAGGCATGCTAATAAAGAGGTACCTGAGCCCAGCAGGGGTGAGAGACCCTAATGGCCCAACAGGGGGTAGTGTTGTGGTGAGGGCCAATGCAGAGTAGGGTGTGGGGCACCTGAAGGACTGTGCTAGTGGGGTGCAGAGTAAGGCTGCAGAGGGTGGCTTGAAGGACAGTATATAGGCCAAACCCAAATGTGAGAGCAGGGAACTAGTTGCCCAGTGTGGGGGTTAGGTGCAAAAGCAGCCCTGTGTTGGCACAAGGTGACCCCATGTAGAGTAGATGAACTCATGGTATCTGAAGTTGCTGCATGGTAGTACTGGAGTGTGAGTAGTAAAGCTTGATGACCCAAGGAGGCTGCACAAAGGGAGCAAGGGCGGTAGAGAATGGCCCAGTAATGGCGAAGTGCAAGAGGTCCCTGTGAGAGGGGGGGCAGTGTGAATGAGTGTAGGTGAATGAGGCCAACAAAGGACTGAGTTTGCTCCAGCCTCAGACCAGGGAGCAATAATAATCTGGATGCCATCTGAAAGGCGTGGGCCACCATATAGGGGAGGTACAGAGCCGTGGATAGCGCCTGGCATTGGAGTGATGAATGGGCAGCCTCCTGCTTAATATATCATAGTAACATTCAAGTTGTGACAGGTGAGTCAGGGCAGACTGCCCTAGGCAGGTGGGCAGGCTAACCTGAGATCTAGCCCTGGGAAGGCCCCCCTGTCACAACATACAAAGAAACTGTGTAGGGACAAAGATACTATTCTGAGTTAAAAGCTGAATGGTTAGCCGTGATAGTCAGGTAGCAAGCAGAGTAGGATGGAACCTTATGAAGGTACTTCTGACACAGTAGGCCTATGAAATCCTGTGCCTGACTGAACCAGTTAGTCTCTTAAGGTTACAAGCTGACATCTCCAAATGAAATGGATCAGTTGTGCCCATATCTGTCCCAGGACAGCTGATCCAGTTTATTGGGTAACACAGACATCACCTGTTGTCTTGCAGGGTTGGACCTTAACCACTTTCAGGAGTGACAGGGGCCTGATCCTGTGGGACAATACTCAGTGCATATTTCTGCAAATGGGGGAACCCTAGTTACCCTGCGAGGGAATCACTGGGCATGCCTCTGCAAGTAGGGCATCTGGGGTTGCTCCTGTTTGCAGAGGCACATCCTGAGTCAGCATTCAGCAGTGTGATGTACATGCCCAGGGAATCGTGGAGCCCACGTATATTAATGGGGAACTGGAGGTTGCTCTATTTGCAGATGTGCACCCTGAGTCAGAGCACAGGAGTACAATACACACACCTTAGGAATCCACTGCCAGGTATTCCCAAGGCATATGTCTACAAATGGGGAACTAGGGAAGTCTCTGAAGCCCCAAAAGTGCCCAATCCTGGGAATTTCTATATTGCATAGGATCAGTTCCATGAAGCCCCAGGATCATCTTCCTGGGGTGGCTGGAGAGTGTTGGCAGCTCTGAGTTGCCTGTGCTCTCCAATGTAAAAGCAAACTAATATGAACCACAAAACAGCATACATTTATACTATCTCTTATCACTGCCATAATTTTGGAAATTTGTGGCATAACAAGGGGCCTGGACATCTGTTCACTTAGGCTTTGTGCCACCATAACATTTTTCATGGTGGCACAAAGATGACATCTGTTTCCAGCTTAAAGTGCCACCCTGGTTTACCTTCTGTCTGAGATAAAAGGGGAAAGTTTACCTCATATAGGCAGTCCCTTAGTAATTCTTTTGTGTATCTGGTCATATCCCATGGTAAGTGAAAGCTCATGAAGTGTGGACTATGTACTGAAGAGCAGCTGATATATAGTAAATCCTTTAGACCACCTTTCCATATAGTTTGTTATACATAGCCCAAAACTTAAAAATGTTAAATGGCTCATCAGAGTCACAGAAGATGTCTGTGATAGCACTAGAAATAGTCTAAACCACGAGCTGTACAAATAAGTTACGTTTTGTGCTTTCCTCTCCTTCCCCTTCTAATCTGACATAAAAACAAAACAAAAAAATACTTAAAAATGATTTCGTTTCATTCCAAGAGATACATTTTTTTCTTACTAACTCGTCCTCCGCAGCCCCCCAATATCACAAAAGAGCCAAAGGAAATATTCTATCCAGTATGTAATAAAAGTAAAGGAGACAAAGTAAAAAAGTAGCATCTGCTACTCCAGGTACTGCTTTTACCTGAGGGGATTTGACCCTACAGCTAAAAGTTCTCCAAAAAGTGCCCTAGCCATCAATCTATCAGATGATCCGGGATAATATCTGTTGGCATTGTTCTAATTGTCTAAATGAATGACTATTCAATGGAGAAGAAAGCAGAATGTCTAATAAGCAGGCTGGGCAGACATTTTATCTCTGGCTCAATTAATATTTAAACATTCCACATAAAGTGGAACAGCTCCCACAAGAGAGCTTGAGGCTGACCCACCACAGAATGATGGCATGATCTCTGGATAGAATACCTACCAAGGAGATGATGGGCCCAAACCTGTACTCCACTGTTTGTCTGAGTCTGAACAGGAATTTGAACCAACAGCTTGCACTCTCAAGGGAATGTTACTTCGAATTTATTTTTATTTTTATTTT